CCGTCATTGTTGTTTGGCAGGCCTGGGCTGGATTCGAACCTGCCACCTTAGGTGTATGTGGCTGGCACCTTAGCCACTTGAGCCACAGGCGCCAAGCCTATTCCCTGGCTTTTAAACACTTCCTTCTCAGCTGCCTTGAACTTGTCTCTCCTCTCCCCATCAGGATGCTGGATGTACCTTTCTCTACACGAAAATTTTTTCAATCCTATACTCGTACCTGACACATATAACTCTTTCATTCTGGCAGAAAATACCACAGCTCTGTTTCGCCCCGTAACTATGGACTTTGCACCCCTAGCATACCCCAATTTAACCTGCTTCAATCTCACCAGTAAAGGAGACTCTGTAGGCTTTATAAAGCCTGATCTCTATTCTCTCAACTCAACTTTCCCCTTATCTGATTCCTCCTGTGCCTCTCTCAGAATATTTTTCCCCTGCAGCCACTCCATCTATGAGTGTGTGCATGCTAACCACTCCCGTCTTTGTACCTGAGTCTTCCTCATCCCCCTCTTTTGTGAATGACTCCTCCCTAATTCAGGCCCTGATACATCCCCCTACTTCCAGACAAAAATTAGGCATCTTTCTCCCTGCACTCCTCAGAACAGGCATAGTGACTGGACTTGGCATTGCAGGCACTAGTACATCAACCTACTTTTACCACCAACTTTCTCTTGAGCTTAATGAAGACATAGAAAGAGTAGCAGACTCTTTAGTCACCCTACAATCCCAAATCAATTCTTTTTTTTTTTTTTTTTTTGAGACAGAGCCTCAAGCTGTCGCCCTGGGTAGAGTGCTGTGGCATCATAGCTCACAGCAACTTCCATCTCCCAGGATTAAGCAATTCTCTTGCCTCAGCCTCCCAAGTAGCTGGGACTACAGGCACCCGCTACAACACTCAGCTATTATTATTATTTTTTTGGTTGTAGCCGTCGTTGTTGTTTGGCGGGCCTAGGCTGGATTTGAACCTACCCGCTCAGGTGTATGTGGCTGGCACCTCAGCCGCTTGAGCCACAGGCACCAAGCCCCAAATCAATTCTTTAGTTGCAGTTGTCCCTCCAAATTGCCAAGTCTTAGATTTAATTACAGAAGAAAAAGGAGGCACATGTGTTTTTTTAGGAGAAGATTGTACCTTTGTAAACCAGTCAGGAATAATTACAGGCAAAGTAAAAGAATTCCAAGAATGAATCAGAGGGCTTGCTGCCTGTGGCTCAAGTGGCTAAGGTGTCAGCCACATACACCTAAGGTGGCAGGTTCGAATCCAGTCCAAGCCCAACAACAATGATGGCTGCAACCAAAAAATAGCCAGGCGTTGTGGTGGGCGCCTGTGGTCCCAGCTACTTGGGAGGTGGAGGCAGGAGACTAGCTTGAGCCCTGGAGTTGGAGGTTGCTGTGAGCTGTGATGCCATAGCACTCTACCCAGGGGGACAGCTTGAGGCTGTCTCAAAAAAAAAAGGAACCAATCAGAGAAAAACAGATCTTGAATCATCTAATCCCTGGTCCTTATTCAATTCCTGGCCTCCTTGGTTATTTCCTATTTTAGGGCCACTAATTATGATCTTTTTCGTTCTCAGTTTCAGATCAGTAATCCTCCACCTCATCTCTCAATTTCTTGACCAGGCAGTCACCAAAAAAACAACCACTGATATCCTTGCCCTACGTGGATATCAACCAGTTCAACCTGAAGACCCAAGAGTGCCCTGGTAAACACCACTCCCTTCCCCCTCTCTTGTATCCTTATAGACAGCCCACACCAACCCTCAACTACAGGAAGCAAAGAGACACCACATTCATCACTCTGCCTCCTTATAATAGACTAAAAAGACTGGGATGATAGGGTGGAATGTAGGGACCCACCCAAATAGAACCGTCCTGCCCAGGAAGGAAGGAATGTGCCAATTCTTATCCCTCTGAACTCTTATATTCCCACCTGCCTTAACTCATGTGCTGAGTTCTTTTTTCAAACTCAGACTGCTTGCACTGGAGTGAATAAAGGCCACGTGGCCCACACAGAACGTGGACTCCACTTCCTTTCACTCACATCTTGGAATAATCTCTCATTTTTGGTCCTTAACCTCTCAGTGGGTACCTCCTACCTATAGGGTAGCTCAAAGAACATGCCTATAAACATTAAGTGCTAATTTGATGGTGACCATCTCTTCAAACTGGGGTTTCTCCAATTCATCTGTGCCCACAGTGGTGCATGGAAGTCTGGGGGGCCAAGGCCTGGAGCCCTTGGGCAGGAGAAAAATCTGTTCCTGGGGTGGAGCTGCCTACCCAGGTCTGGGGCCAGGCTCACTCACCTTTCCTTCCTGCCTCTGGGTCTCTGCTTCCCCGCCAGGGCCCGAAGCTCCTCCTCTGAAGGGTGCTTGTACCGGAACAGACTGAGGGCAAAACCAAGACAGTCAGGAACACTTGGGCATGGGGACATTGAGGCAGTGAGTCCTAAACCTGGGGACTTGGCTGGGCCAGGGGAAGCCCTGGAAGGTGGTAGGGGCTGAACTGGAGTGGCCGGTGCAAAGAGAAATTCTGGGGGAAATGGTGGGGCCAACAGATGAAGTTTAGGAAGGCTCAATGATTAAATACCCTTGAATTTGCTGGTTTCCCTTTCTCCTAGGGAAACAGGTGTGTGCCTTTTTCTAGGCAAAGAATTCAGTTTCCACCAGCTTCACAAAAAGGGTCAGAGACCCACACAGGGAACGAAACCAGAGCTGGGGATGGGAGTGTAGATCTCTAGGAAGAGTAAGGATAGAGGGAGGCAAGAGTTAGGGACAATGGGAATGTGGCCTAGGTGCCTCCTTTATGTATAAAAGATCCAATTGTACACTTCGAATATATGCTGTTTGTCATGCTTCAGTCACATAATAAAGTAGCTCCCAGCCCCCAGAATGAAGGCTGAGCAAAGCATGGTGGGCATAACTCCTTGAGGCCCCTCCCACCAAGGAGGGTGTGGCAAGGCTCACCTGCCATTGCAGAGCAGCCAGCGAGCGAATGAGCAATGTGGCGCCAACCTGTGCATGAGGGTGGCAGTGAGCAGGGTCACCACCAGCTGCACTCCAAGGACCGCCTGGGGGAAGGGACATGATGGCTAGTGCCTGCCAAAGGGTCACAAGCTCCTTCCCTCAGAACCCAGGCTATTTATAGAGAAGCCAGGCCAGATGGGGGAGGGTGATACTCCTGGCTCCAGTGGCTTCTTAGGGAAAGGTCCTGGGATGAACCCAGACTCAACTCTGGGAACACAGCAGAGAGCTGAGAGCAGGTCTCCCCTCCCCCACATGGCCTGGCTCTCTTTACTGCATCCTCCCCCCACAACCGTATCAGAGGCGCCAGGTCCTACTTAGCTGGAACATGGGAAGTAGAGACCAGGAGTTTGCATCTAGCCTCTTCATTGCTGGGGAGAGAGCTAGGCCATGAGGCCAGGTGGTCTCCATGTGGATCAGCCCCACATGGTAGACAGAGCAGCATTGGAGGTTGATCATGTAACTCAGAAAGTCCTAAGCCACCTGGATGGGCTGAGTGCCCGTCCCCGGGCCTGAGTTCCCTGGGAGCAATGTGTAGCTATGGATTTCAGGTATCAGTCTCTCCAAGCCTTGGTTTTCTCATCTGGAAATGGGGTACTTGCTACTTTGCTTCATGGATTCATCACAGCCAGCTTCCAGCCCTTACTATGGCCCCACACCCAGTGAAAGTGACTTGTGTCCCATGGCCTTCTGTATCAACTGCACCTTGGTTGAGCTTCTGGCTATGCCCTCTGGGGCCTCCTTTCCCTAAGTCTGTCCTACCTTAAATGATCCATGATGACTCCATCACCATCCCTCACCTCTTGTAATCAAACTCCTTGGAGTGGGATGACTTAAATTAAAATTTTTCTTACCAAGTTCTGCATACAAACTGTTTAAATAAATACTAATTCAGAACACGTTTTCATGTGCTTATTTCGAAATGTTTCAGAAGGATCAGTTGGAAGCTGAAATTGGGTTTTCCTGCTTGAACAAAGTACATAACTGTTTGCTATCAGTAATTATGTAATTATGTAAAATTATGAGCCCAAGGGAGCTGTTGACTAGTCCTATGGAATTATAATCAACAATTAAAATGAAATAAAGATTACTTAAATGGGAAAATTAATTGATTATTAACATAATCCTTTAATGGGGCATAAATAAGCCAACTTTAATAGAAAAAGCTCTATGTGATGGATATCAGGCCTACCACCATAATTCAGAATGAATGCGGAGAAGTCCACCATTAAAATAATCTACTAGGGCCGGATGTGGTGGCTCATGCCTGTAATCCTAGCACGGAGGCCAAGGCAGATGGATTGCTTGAGTTCATGAGTTCAAGATTAGCCTGAGCAAAAAGCAAAACCCCATCTCTACTAAAAATAGAAAAAACTGAGGCAAGGGGATAGCTTGAGCCCAAATTGGAGGTTGCTGTGAGCTATGATGCCTCAGCACTCTACCTGGGGCAACAGCTTGAGAGTCGTCTCAAAAACAAACAAAAAAACCTGACTAATAGGACATTTTCTCTGTGTCTGTGACTTGTAAACTGAGACCAGAAATCTTTTTTCAGTAATAAAATGAGGTAGGAGGCTCCATCTTCCTAATCTTCAAATCCTCATTGCTCACCTCCTTCAGACCCAAGGGCAGACTGGTTGGCAGGTACTAACGACCTTGACCAAGTGGACCTGGCTCCTCCTAGCCCAGGGGGCCAAGCCTCTCGGGAAGCCTCGCCCTTCCTCCTAGGACCCACCCCCAGCCCTTCGCCCCAGCATCCCTCACCAGTTGCTGCCCGAACAACAAGGGTAAGGCTTCGAGACGCCTTAGCCCGTTTATCTCCCCCTTGTAATCTCCCCCTTGTGACCCCATCCCCTGGCAGCGTTTTACCCACCTACCCAGTTCATCACGACCCCAGCACAGGGACACCTCCAGCCAAGAGCAGCCCCTCCCCCAATGACTGCTCACGGCTCCCACGACCCGAGCCCTCAGTCCCTCCATGTGGCTCAGGACTTTCCTAGTCTCACAATCAACCTCCAACCTTCCAACGCTGCTCTGCAGTCTGCCATGTGGAGTTGATCCACCTAGAGACTGCCCAGCCTCATTGCCAGGCTCTCTCCTCAGCCCTCCCTGTGGCCCAACCACTCGGGTCTCTTAGGCCCTCCTAGACCCGCCGGCCCTCCATTGCTGACTTCGTCCTCTCCAAAACCTCCCAGGGAGAAGACCTTGCTGGAGGTCCTTGCAGGACCTAAGGCTCCCGAGATCTGGGCTGTGTGTCACGGCCCCACCCCCCAACAGCCTCTCATTTCAGGGTCAATGCTCTGCAGATGTCTCCAAGAAACTTCAACTTCTGGAGCCTTCCACCAGCTATGTTCCTTCCTTGCTCTTCTCTGGATTTACAATCCTTGAACCCAAGAATCCTACTAAAATCAGTACAACTTTCATCCATCTGGTTGCAAAGAGCTCTTGCCCTCACCTCCTGCAAGCTAGGCCTGGAAGGAGGCACCACTTTCAACAATCCTCTACGGTAATGCACTTCCTTCACACCCACCTCCAACGCCTCTCCCCGAGGATCCCTCCCAGGCAGGACAGACCACACTTCAGACCCCCTCCAGCTCCCTGTCCCTCCCTCTGCTCAGTCCTCAGTGATGCAGAGGTCCCGCCCACAGGAACATGGCTAAGTTTGAAGAATACGCTCTATAAATTGGACCTAGAGACGCCTGAGACATGAGCTGTCTCCTGTGCTGTCTCCAATTCCAAGACCCTTGCCTACCCTGAAGCCACCCGGCCCCCTGGGTCCACCTTTCAAGGCTCTTATTGCCCCTTCCGCACACCTCCACCAGGCCCCCAAATACTCGTTCTGCACGATCCCCACGCTCCTGCAGAACCCTTGTACCCAGAATGGGCCCCAAGAGGACCCCAGGCCACCCTCGCGGTGCTCCGACGTGTTCCGGTCCTGTACCCTATGCGGGACCACGACCCCTCCGCAGGGCACTAGGACCCTAAAAACGTTTCCAAAGACCAGAACCCCCAGGACGCTCAGGGGCTCTCAATCCCCTACGCACTACCCCGTCCGACTCCTTCCGGGGCTCGGCAGCTGACAGCAGGGCCCAGAGAGAGACATAGGGCCCTCAGTGTGAACCCAAGTCCCTCACAGCCTCCAATCACCGTAGAGGGACCCCATCGACTGGACCCCGGCCTCTCAAGGCATTCCAGGTCACAGAACGCTAGCTCACCATGTCGCACACTGAAGCGCGGTTTACAGACCCATAGACTTGGAGCTTAGATCACTACGTAGGAACTCGACCAGTCAGAGACCCAGACTGGTGTGACGAGCGGCCCATGAGCCCAATCAGCACGGTGTACAGGTCCACGAACCTGCAGCTTAGATCACCACGCGGTAACTCGGCCAGTCAGAGGCCCAGACTGGTGTGACGAACGGCCCATGCGCCCAATCAGCGGGTAATCACGAGGTCGCTCGCGTTGCGTGCCGGAAGTTGTAGTTCCGACCTGAGTTCAGCGTAGGGGCTGTGTCTGAGAGGTTTGAGACCCTGTTTGGCCGACCTCTCTTAAGTCTTGGTCTTTTTTTTTTTTTTTTTTTTTTGGCTGGGGCTGGGTTTGAACCCACCACCTCCGGCATATGGGGCTAGCGCCCTACTCCTTGAGCCACAGGCGCCGCCCAAGTCTTGGTCTTCTTACCTACACCCATCTTGGAGGTCTGCAGAGAAAACATTCATTCATCCAGGCGCTGTATCCAGAGGGAAAGTTTTTTGGTTTTTGTTTTGTTTTGTTTAAGGCTAGGCAAGTGAGGGATAGTTGTAAGTGTAGAACTCCTCCTGATCAGGAACATTCAATGGTTTCCACTGTCGAGACTCCTAAGTGCTCAAAGACTGAATGCAGACCCTTCTTCCTGATTTAAATTGCCTTCCATTCTATTGTACTCACTATAGTACAACTTTCCACCTGCCATCCTATCTCAGACCTTCAGGCCTTTGTAAATATCGCCTGTTTTGGAATGCCTCAATCTTTTTCACCTTCCCAAATGCCTTATTCATCTCTATCAGCCAAGGCTCTGCTTGTGCTCCACACAAAAAAAATCTGACTCAAATAGGCTCAACCAAAAAAGGAAAGTTTTGGCCCATGTAACAGAAAATCCTAGAGGTGGTGTCAGCTTCAGGCATGAGGACCAGATGTTAGCCTCAGTAATCTGATGTCCTTTGTTTCATAGCTTGGAGGAAAGGGCTTCTGATGTACAAAAGTGCCTGAGTTTTGCTGTCTCTGTTTCTATGGACGAGTGTGCCAGCCTAAGCATGGACATATGTTGGGTATGACTGAGTATTTGAGGGTCTTTATGAGGGTATAGTTCATTGCCTTGTCTCTATGGGTGTTTTTGTGTTTATGAGCACGTGTAGATGTCTGTTTGTGGCAGATTCACTGTTTGTGATTTTGGATTTCTGGACTCAAGAGTGTTACCTTGAGAGAATGTGGGTGACAGTGGCAGTGGGGGTTACCTGGCTTTTCCAGGACCTACATGGGGGCCACAAGATGCCCCTCAGGGTCAGAGTATACAGGTGGGATCCAAAGAAGCTGGGATTTGGTGCCAGGCAAGGGGGACCAAGAAAGAAAGGAGGGAAGGGGAGGTTTACTGCAGGTCCCACTGTGGGCCAGGCTAGGGCGAACACGGACTTGTGTACTTCCTCCAGCATGACTAGGTGGCAGAACAGTTGTCTCCATCTCACTGATGAAGATACTGTGGTTCTGAGAGACCCAGATCTCTTATCTGACACGCGGATCTCTTCCCTGGGCACCAAGTTCATAAGTTTAGGTGTCACTCAGTGCCCCCATGTGGCATCCACTGGCAATTAATAGGAATCTGGCCCTATGGACCTTCTCTTGGACCTGCCCCTCTGCCACCTCTCCATTGCAGAGAAGGCAACTCCAAAAAACTGCCACCTCTCCATTGCAGAAAAGGCAACTCCAACCTCCAGGGACTCAACCACAAATTCAGAAGTTGGCCTTGACTTCTCTCCTACCACACACCTGAGTGGGGTTGATGGCTCTACTGTGCAAGTGTAACCACAGTCCCACCTGCCTCAGCCCCTTCTCAGCCTCCATTTCTTTCAGCCTCTCTCATCACTTGCCTGTGGTCACCTTTTCCCTCCTGTTCTATTTTTTTTTTTTTTTGCAGTTTTTGGCCGGGGCTGGGTTTGAACCCGCCACCTCCAGCATATGGGGCCAGTGCCCTACCCTTTTGAGCCACAGGTGCCGCTCCTCCCCCCTTTTTTAAGACAGAGTCTCACTATGTCACCCTGGGTAGAGTGCTGTGGCATCACTGCACACAGCAACCTCAAACTCTTGGGCTTAGGCAATCCTCTTGCCTCAGCCTCCCAAGTAGCTGGGACTACAGGTTCCCGCCACAATGCCAGCTATTTTTTGTTACAGTTGTCACTGCTGTTTTAGCTGGCCAGGGCCGCCACCCTCGGTATATGGGACCAGCGCCCTACCTACTGAGCCACAGGCGCTGCCCAACTCTTCCCTGTTCTTTGGCTTCCATCCTACACACCATTCCACAAAGCTGTTTTCCCTGAGTAGCTTGAAGGCCCCGTGAACACCTAAGCACCTAAGCCAGACGCACCACCCCCTCTGCTCATAACCATCTATGGCTCCCACCTAACTGAGAGCAAAAGCCAAAGCCTTCTCTTTTACATTGGACTTTCTGTGCACTCCATCCTTCACTGTTTGCTCAATGCCTCTGTTGTGCATTGGAATTTCCATGTACTCTATTGTTTACCTTTATTCAACATCTCTGCTCTACATTGGGCATCCTTCATTCTCTATTCTACATCAGCTGTGCCATGTTGTTAGTTCTTTTCTTTTTTTTTTTTTTTTGAGACAGAGCCTCAAGCTGTCCCCCTGGGTAGAGTGCCATGGCAGCATAGCTCACAGCAACCTCCAACTCCTGGGCTCAAGTGAGTCTCCTGCCTCTGCCTCCCAAGTTGCTGGAACCACAGGCACCTGCCACAACGCCTGGCTATTTTTTTTCAGTTGCAGCCATCATTGTTGTTTGGCAGGCCCAGGCTGGATTCGAACCCGCCACCTTAGGTGTATGTGGCTGGCGCCTTAGCCACTTGAGCCACAGGCGCTGAGCCATTTTTTTCTATTTTTAAAGTAGAAACAGAGTCTTGCTCTTGCTCAGGCTGGTCTTGAACTCATGAGTTCAAGTAATCTACCTGCCTAGGCTTCCCAGAGTGCTGGGATTGTAAGTATGAGCTGCTGTGTCCAGCCAATGTATTCTGTTCTTTTTGTTATTGTTTTCTTTTTTGAGGGAGCAGAATCTCACTCTGTTGCCCCAGGCTAGAGTGCTCTGGTGTCATAGCTCACAGCAACCTCAAAAATCTTGGACTCCAGCAATCCTCTTGCCTTAGCCTCCCAAGTAGCTGGGACTACAGGTGCCTGCCAGAACGCCTAGCTATATATTTTTTTAGAGATGAGGTCTCACTCTGGCTCAGGCTGGTCTCAAATCTGTAAGCTCATGCAGTCCACCCACCTTGGCCTCCCAAAGTGCTAGGATCATGGGCCTGAACCACTGCACTTGGCCTGTTTTTTTGTTTTCAAAGGGAGGTCAGAGCACTTCCAAAAAAAATTGGAAGTGGGTCTCTCTGATGATGGAGAGAAAGTAAGAGAGACTGTATTATGTTTTTGATTACTAGTTCAACATCTCTTTGGCACATTGGCTATGCCTGATATCTGTTCTACATTGGCCATGATTCCTGTTCTCCATTGGGCAAGTCCACATTCTCTATTCTACACTGGGTATTCTACACTCCCTAATCATCCTTGGATGCTCCCTACATCTGTCTACATCACATATCCTATATTCTCTAACCTGCATTAAGGTCTCCACTCTGATTCAACATTGACTGTTCCACAATCTCTATTTATAGGGGTCTTGAAAATGCATCTGTCAATGGGCGGCGCCTGTAGTCCCAGATACTCAGGAGGCTGAGGCAAGAGAATTGCCTAAGCCCAAGAGCTGGAGGTTGCTGTGAACTGTGATGCCATGGCACTCTACCGAGGGTGACAAAGTGACACTATGTCTCTAAAAAAAAAGAAAGAAAATGCATCTGTCAAGATTTCCCATGAATTCCCCTGCCCTCTGCTTTTCATCACTGCATTTATACCTGGGCCACTTTCGCCACAGGTGTTTCCAACCAGTGACTGAGCCCCTAGGGCTCTTCTAACAGTAACATTGATCCTGGTTGATGTTTTTGTGGTGTCCTTGACTGTGGATGTCTTTAGTATTGCTCAGCTCTATAGGACAATTCCCTCCTCCTTCCCCTTCAAAAGAGGAGACTCACAGAGCCAGCAGGACAGAGCTGGGGTCTGACCACATTGCTGGAACCTGCTTCTATGTCCACTGTCCTCTTGTGGTCCAGGACAGCAAACACACACACAACATGAGACACAGCCCTTGCTGAGTCCTCAGGACTAGAGCCCTAAGACATGGGGTGGAGGCCCTTTGAAAGATTTAATTTTAATTATTTTTCTAATCTCTCTCTCTCTTTTTATATGGAGTCTCACTTTGTCACCCTTGGTAGAGTGCCATGGCAACATAGCTCACAGCAACCTCAAACTCTTGGGTGCGAATGATCCTTTTGCCTCAGCTTCCTGAGTAGCTGGGACTATAGGTGCCTGCCATAACACGTGGCTATTTTTTTAGAAATAGGGTCTCATTCTTGCTCAGGCTGGTCTTGAACTCATGAGCTCAAGTGATCTGCCCTTCTCAGCCTCCCAGAGTGCTAGGATTACAGCTATGAGCCACCTTGCCCACTCTGTTGCCCAGCCTCAACCCCCGGGCTCAGGCTATCCTCCCAACATGTACAACCAAGCCCAGATAATGTTTTTTTTTTAAGACAGTCTCACTTTGTTGCCCTTGGTAGAGGGCTTTGGCATCATAGCTCAGAGCAATGGGCACAAACTCCTGGGCTCAAGTGATCTTCTTGCCTCAGCATTCCAAATAGCTGGGACTACAGGTGCCCACAACACCTGTCTAGTTTTTAGAGACTGGGTCTCACTCTTGTTCAGGCTGCTCTCAAACTCCTGACCTCAAGCAATCCAAATGTCTTAGCCTCCCAGAGTGCTAAGATTACAGGCTTGAGTCACCCATCTGGTCTCAGCATTTTTTTTTTTTTTTTT